TAAATACTCTACATACTGTACCCTATCCTTGGTGTAGTAAATACTCTACATACTGAACCCTATCCTTGGTGTAGTAAATACTCTACATACTGTACCCTATCCTTGGTGTAGTAAATACTCTACATACTGAACCCTATCCTTGGTGTAGTAAATACTCTACATAAATACTCTTTTTGTTTGATTCATTCCAGCACAAAGCATATGTGTTGAAGTTTGATCCCTTATTCCTTGTAGGATGCATGTGTTAAAAAAAGTATTTGAAGTTTTGATTTTAAAGATAAATAACGATAAAGTTCTCCTATTTTAGCACTGTTAATTATTAGGAAGCCTATTAGGTTATCATCAAAGTCATGTTAATACTGTAATATCATTTCTTTCCATGTCCCTACTGACGAAATGGTATAGAAAAGTGTGTCAAAATTAAGATGCAAGCACACAGTTGTGTGTACAAATCTGCTCTTTGAAGTTGAACAAAAAAAGACATGTTTGAAGCTTAAAAGAAAATTTCTAAACTCAAATAAACTTTTCCTGTGTGAAAGTCACCAGTGTACATTGTCAATGCAACTATGTTGCATCAATGACTCATTCTTTACTTGAAATATCATGTTGTATGATATGTACAGTTAATCAGTCTCTCTGTCGTGAAAACAACCCGTGAAAGAGGTATAAAGCACTAAAAGACCTAGTGATAATAATTCATAATACTAAATCACATATCATCTGTATAATGACATATTAGAAGATACAGTACCATGATATTAAATGTGGTAAAGCATAATATCATGACACAATGAAACGGTTTAATTGCCAATACTCTCTATAGTTAAATGTAAGACTAAATACAAAATGTATAATTGAAAAACAACAACAACAAGGTTTTCTACTATTTTTTACATAAAACTTTTTATCTTGCACAGCTCCTTTAAATGATCGGCCAGTTCATACTTACAAGTGGAAAGTTTCGTTGTATTTTGGAGACCAGTTATTGTTTTTGGATTTAGTAGCATGTTTCCGTTTCTTGTTGCTCAAATTGGGACCTATCAGATTAACCTCTACAAATGGTCGAAACATGCTGGTGTTTGGCCAGCGAAGGTCATTTGCAGCAACCACTGGAAAAACATTATCAACATTAACTTGGCCAGTTAAAGAAAAAAAGGGGATAATACAATATAAACTATATACTTCTATGATTATACAAGTTTTCCAATGTGCTGTGCAGCAATGCATAAGAAAAGAGAACCAAACAATTAATGTGATATCGGGTCAGTTAAAAGTAACATGTACGGTTCTGCTATGTGAGTCTGCAATACGTTAAGGGAAGTATTAATACATAGTATTTCATTTGTATCGTGTTGAATCTGCTACCAAAAAATAAAATCAGGTTTCCAAAATGGAAAAAAATAAAGCTGTAAGTTGCCCAGGGAGAAACCAAAACCGCTAAGACAGGAACCAGCTTAAGAGTGATTCAATACAAACTGAAGTGAAAATGCAAAACCATGAAGCTCATTTTCAAAGATTTATACTTCTCCGAGCATTTTGTTCCATTCTTTCCAAAATAAAATAAAAATACCCTTTCAAACTATAAGATTGGAAATGAACAACATAACCACATTCATAAAGACTTAAACTAAACACCAATTCTGATTTTGTAACTTTAACAGATGTTTTTATTCTACTGAAAAAAAAAGGAGGTCTTAATTTACATTTTCACACCAAAATCCAGAATTGTATGTCAACTGGTCCGGCATGGCCAGGTGGTTAGGGCACTCGACTCCCAATCTGAGGGTCACGGGTTTGAATCCCTGTCCTACCAAACATGCTCGCCCTTTCAGTTGTGGGGTGTTATAATGTGATGGTCAATCCCACTATTTGTTGGTAAAAGAGTAGTCCAAGAGTTGGCAGTGGGTGGTGATAACTAGTTGCTTTCCCCTCTAGTCTTTTACTGCTAAATTAGGGATGGCTAGTGCAGATAGCCCTCGTGTAGCTTTGTGCAAAATTCAAACTAACAAACAAGTATTTCAACTTTTTAGACAATTACAAATCTAAGCAATAACACAGATTGGATATGACCCAATGGTGATACTTTCCACAATCTCAGAGCAGTACTACTAAGAATTCACTTTCAACTTGGTGTGTTATTTAGCTTTTCACCCATCATGTTAGTCCTCTATAAACATTTAGTTTACTGAAAACTATATACACTGTGCGAGTTCTTTCTTTATTTTAACTTCCTTTAACAGATACGTTATACGGCAAGTCTGATATGCACTATGCGAGTTCTTTCTTTACTTTAACTTCCTTTAACAGATACGTTATACGGCAAGTCTGTAAAAACTTTATTCGTCTAATCACACTGTTAAGGTGATACAATGATGCACACATTACCATAAGTAATATTCCACTTTTATGGGTGACGGGACAACTAGTTAACAGCCCTTTAATTATTTCTCTAAAAAAAAAGGTGTTTCTCTCAGAACTTTTATTTTTTTATGTTTAATTACCAAATTGTTATTTACAACGGTAACTATTTCTGTAAGGAAGAGACAATCGGGAAATATATATATTTTTACAGGTAAACAGGGGAGTACCATTAACAGTGAACCAGTATCTTTTTAAAACTGTGTGCTATGCATTATCAATGTTCTCAAGACTGTCCCATTGCCTGAATGCTGTGTTAATATGTTTACAATCCTCCAGTCAATAGTGCAATCATTAAAGTTTTCTTTATGTTACTACTAATCATGCATGTGTTTCTAATTGTTATTGGCTGAGGTAGTAGTCTATCTACAATTCTGACCAATAGGGAAGCTTCTTATCACTCTTAAGGCAGTGAGATTTGATAAGCAGCCATGTAAACTACAAGATAGGGAGAAATTTAATTAATTATTATTATTTTAAGCTGTTGAGTTTAGTGACATCTGCATGTTATTTACAAAACTACTCAGTAAATTCACATTTACTAGGTGTACAATGGAAACAATTGTAAATTCGTTTTCAGTTTTCAGGAAAGATAAAAGTAATAGTTTAATGCAGGGTTTCTTCATTTATCTAAAAGGCTGTATTTTTTTGTCTTTGGCTTTTAGTATTTTCTTGGATATAGAAGACCATTGAAATAAAAAATATTAGTTTCAATTGCACATATTTTATGTCAAAGACAGCCTTAGATCTCATTTTTAACTATCCAGCTTCCCATGGTCTGAGAAGTTCCTGGATCTATGCTTATTTTTACTCATCATTTTCTGGTGCATCGCCAATTTAAAAAGTACTACATGCCTCTCAGGACAACATAAGCTTATTACCAAATAATTTACTTTCATCTTCAAAGGAAATATCAAAAATATAACAAGCTGAAAATTCAACACTTTTTATTATATATTCAAATTCAATTCCACAGTACCAGCATTTATATCAAAACATAGTTAAAGCATCCAATATCAGACAGCTCTTTTTGAAACACAGTTATCAAAACCAGTAAACAAAGAACACATCTTTACGTGTATTAGCATACATAATGTTCTCTAATTATTTTATGCAGTTTGTACATTTACAAATCCAAATATCTTAAGATTTACTTCATAAATTGATTAGATTTTCTGCAACTGAAGAGAGATACATTTTGTTCCTCTTACACTTTTTTTCAAGCAGATGTTCTTCCAAAGTCAAGAAAGCACTGTTTATTTATAATCAAGTAAAATCTACAATGCCACTTACTAATAATGAGAAGTTAAACACTAAATTAATTGCCAGTAAATGCATCATCAGACAAAACCATGGTTGTAATAAATGAAATACTTGTAAAATGTACAGTTGTCTTTATCTTCCTCAATCTTGTAATTATGGCGTTTCACCAAGTACTAGTGGTTTCAAGTAACAATTACTTAAAATGATTTTGCTCATTATAATTCGCTACTTCTCCACACATGAATGATGCTGAAAGATACTAGTTTAAATACTTTGAATTTAAAGAATAACTTTTCATACTGACAAAGTTTGTTTGTTTTGTTTTAGTACAATGGTACACAATGGACTATATGTGTTCAGTTCACCACAGGAAATCAAATCCCGAATTTTAGCATTGTGAACTTATCACTGACCCACTGGTGGAAATACTACCAAAGTAAACAAGTCTTTACAACTGAGAAAGAGAATATTTTGATTTTCAACATGTTGTTGTTCATCATTAGAGTAATCAAGGTAAATTATAAAAACTAACTTTGTCTCTAGTTTTGTTTTTTGAATTTCACGCAAAGCTACACGAGGGCTATCTGCGCTAGCCGTCCCTAATTTAGCAGTGTAAGATTAGAGGGAAGGCAGCTAGTCATCACCACCCACCGCCAACTCTTGGGCTACTCTTTTACCAACGAATAGTGGGATTGACCGTCACATTATAACGCCCCCATGGCTGAAAGGGCGAGCATGTTTGGTGGGACGGGGATTCGAACTCTCGACCCTCAGATTGCGAGTCGAGCGCCCTAACTACCTGGCCATGCCGGGCCTTTGTCTCTAGAAAATTAAGTTAACATTATTTATAAAATAAATATTTCTAGTTACCTTTAATGGTAATTTTATGTTCTCCAGTGCCTGGATGAGTGAAGAGATCAACTTGAACAGAAACTTCACCCACACTTCCTTCTTCAGTGGCTGGAATTTCTGAGAAATAACACAAACACATGTTTCATTACACTACTACCCATATCTACTGAAGAAAAGGAAACACTTTTTCTGGAATACTACATAAAATGTATATTGAAAGTTTTTTTACACTGTTGTGTTGCTTTACATTAACAAACCAGACAGAAAGGCCAAATCTGGATCACCTCAACATCACATTTAGAAGTAAAATGAGACAACTCTGTTGCCATAGCTAAAAAAATCAAAGTTCCAATTTTAAATATGCAAGAATACTTAGATACTGTAAATTAAATTTTGCATTGCCCATGATTTATCCTACTTGTGGATACAGCTCTAACTATTGAGGTACAATAGCCATCTTTATTTTGTGTATCTGCACTTTTTTCTATGATTTTTTAAAGGACATAATACATATCGGAGACCGTCAACAGTTTTTATGATTCTCACTCAGATTTTGATGTCACTGGGGATGCATAACATTTTTTATACATTCAGATGCTCTTGAGATAACCCTTTTAGATCAACATGTCCAATTTGTTTTGAAATTTCTGTGTGAACTTCTTGGCATATGGAAGGAATCAGTAATATGCTGTAGATATTTCCTGGATGATTTTCATTCCAGAGCAAAATATATCATTCTGACACCTGACCTTACTTACCTGGCTAAGTACTACAAAGAGCTTTAACTTTTATTTGTCCCAAGTGTGAACTGAAAAAATGGTTCCTGCAGCTGCTCCTGATTACATATTAACTCAGCTTGTACTACTGAGTGACTCTGTATCTTCTTTGGTTAAATAAGACACTACAATCTTTATAGTTATAGTGACAACATATTTACAAAGTTTTTTAAAGTAATACAGAATGGTCCAAAAGTTAGCTGATCAGGGTAATCATTGTAACTGTTTCTAATTAATGTAGAAAAAGAAACAACAGCACACAGACTGACCAAGAAACAACGTGTTTTGGTGCTGCATGTCAGTTATCTTCTACACAAGAGAGATTTAAATATGGGGGCAACTACATTTTTTGGACAACTCTCTATATTTGCCTGGATCTCCCTTCCTCCTCTCTATAGTTGTCACTGTGCAGGCAGTTTCAACCTACGTACTAAGTGGGCGATGTTGGCTAGTTCAAATCAATCATAAGTATTGTCTGAGCCTTTAGTAGTTGACATCATGGAAGAATGGCACGTGTAAAGTGCATATGTCACCAGAAAATGGTATCAACACTACACGAATAAACACGAACACAACAGAAGAGTAGGCTAAAG